CTACACAACCATCCATAAGGTAGGTATCCACCACTCAATATAACGGTTCCAGGAGCATTATATCACTCTCTCTTTTTATATCTCTCCACCGAGGTCATGTTTGGGAATGAAAGTAAAAATCATGGTGCAGCCAGTTTTTTTTTATAAAAGTATCCAACAATTTAATAAAGATTTACACTCACAAAAAGGGTGTCTTCACCGACACCAGTATAACAGCATAAAACAGCAAATGGTGTAACAGTCTCCTGCTCCCCGCACACTCACTACAGCGCTCGTGACTCAATCCTCTCCACAAACGTCAGCATCCAGCAAGCCCTACTAGTTTCGTCATGAATGACGTCTTCAAGGGGCGCCTGTTATAATAAATAAATAAATAATTGGGGATTTCATTTAAAAAAAGGAATGCGCTAAAACCACAAACTATTCCTAATTTAGTGTAGAAACATTAGTGCAAAAGATATATATATCTATTCTCAATTAATATCAAAAAATATCAAAATTATGTGCAAAACTATTTTTTAGTGCAGAAGTAACTTAAATAATTAAATTTGTGAATATAAAAATAACCGCCCCTTGAAGACGTCATTCATGACGAAACTAGTAGGGCTTGCTGGATGCTGACGTCTGTGGAGAGGATTGAGTCACGAGCGCTGTAGTGAGTGTGCGGGGAGCAGGAGACTGTTATACCATTTGCGTTTTATGCTGTTATACTGGTGTCGGTGAAGACACCCTTTTTGTGAGTGTAAATCTTTATTAAATTGTTGGATACTTTTAGAAAAAAAACTGGCTGCACCATGATTTTCTCTTTCATTCCCAAACATGACCTCGGTGGAGAGATATAAAAAGAGAGAGTGATATAATGCTCCTGGAACCGTTATATTGAGTGGTGGATACCTACCTTATGGATGAATGTGTAGCTATTGATCATCACACCTGAGAAGTTGATTCATTGCATCTGCTCCCAGAGCAAAAAGCGTTTTTTTTTGCTGATCTAGAGATTGATCAGCATGGAGCTCTGGTGAGTTACCCAACTTTACTTTTGGTGGTGGATTTTGGCACAATTTCTTTGAGAGCACCTGAATTTGAAAAGGATTTGTTTGGATATTTTGAAGAAACTCAGAATTGGACAATTTTTTATATTCACAAATTTAATTATTTAAAGTACTTATGCACTAAAAAATAGTTTTGCACATAATTTTGATATTTTTTGATATTAATTGAGAATAGATATATATATCTTTTGCGCTAATGTTTCTACACTAAATTAGGAATAGTTTGTGGTTTTAGCGCATTCCTTTTTTTTAAATGAAATCCCCAATTTATTTATTTATTATTGTGGTGAGTTTGGCGCCAATTTTAAAAAATGTTATTTATGGAATTGGGAATTCTGGGAGGGGATATCTCACCATTGACGTCTGTGAGAGATAATATGTGTCGGAACAATTCGGTGTCTCCCAATTACAGTGCAGAGATCTCAGCATCTGAGCCCCCCCCCCCCCCCCCCCACCAAAGATGTAAAAAAAAAAAATTAGCTGGAATGAAATGATGGAAATTGGAAACAGGCAGATGTCTATTCAGGTCAGAAACAAACAGACGAACCCATTGATTGGGCTCTAGGCGGAAGTTCTGAGTTCCCTTTATAGGTGGTTAACGAGAGTCAGGTGTGCAACAGTAAAATTAGAAAAAAATAAATTCCTTATATCATAAAAAGTTTTTGATCTTCAGTTGAGTGACTTTGACTAGGCTGAGATGATTTCATCAGTCTTCTGCAGGCAGCCGTTTCCTCAGTCTCCCCCCAGTGATGAGAAGCAACATTGCAATTTTGTAGCAGGGGCTGATCTGTGTCAGATATTTGTGAACACTGCAGCAGGATTTACATGATCCAGCTGGCATTCCTATCCTGGAAGTAGGTGGTAACCCTGGATGATACCTGAACAAAGATGGGCCCGTCCTCCTGGAGAGAAAAAAACAAAGGCATTGTCAACGGTGATCAGTAATAAATCCCCGGAAGTGTTACACGGACACACGTGACCTTAACATGAAAAATGTATTTGATGACAAGTACACCATCTCAGCGCTGTCAGGGCCCAATGATATCCGGTTGAGTGCTGCGACTGGGAGACGGGGTGGGAGTGACCTAGATTCCGCTCCCCATCACTCTCTGATGCTGTTTTTAAACCTTGTCTTCCCCCGCCGGATCCGCTGCCAGGAAGATGCGCAATCCTCTCCGGGGAAGCTGGGCCAGCACGTCACAGTGATAAAAATAACCCGATAGTAGCAGATGTCTGCCGGGGTGCTCGGATATCAATATTTATAGGAAGTTTGCCTAATTGGTTCACTTCAACGTACGGCTTCGATAGTAAGACCGCATAGGACCCGATTGGGGGAGGGGTGACCTCCGTCAGCCAGTTAGTACAGAGTGCAGGATTCTCTCTGTGTCAGTTATCAGTGCAGTATACCGTGGCAGGTGATAGGGCGCCCCCCCATGGCTGGTTCCTCTGATGGCAGGTTATGATCTTTTTGCTGTCCTGCCTCTTCCTGGCTCTGATCTGTGCTGACCTCTTCTCTTCTCCTTCTCTCTATGTCTCTGCGCCTGTCGCTGCTGCTGCTGTGTGTTCATGTTTGTTACTGTCATCAGAGGAAGGAGGAACACTCGCAGCAGAAATCAGGTATTTCCACCCAAACTGCATCCCAAACGTACATATACCGTCTACCAACTCTGACAACCCCCACCCATGGGCAGGTGACACCATTTTTTTATATAATATGCTGATTTTCAGACTGTGTCACTGCCCCGCCCATTTTTTTACATTTTGGGATTCTGATTTGCAGATCATGTCACTGCCCCCACCCATTTCTTTTTTTACTTTTTGGATTCTGATCTTCAAACTGTCACTGCCTTGCACATTTTTTTTTACATTTTTAGATTCCCATTTAAAAAAAAAATTGTGGATTTCTTATTTTCAGATTGTGTCACTGCCCCGCCCATTTCTTTTTTAACTTTATAGATTCCTATTTTTTGGATTCTTATTTTCAGATTGTGTTACGGCCCTGCCCATCCTTTTTTTTTTTTTTTGCTTTTTGGATTCTGATTTTCGAACTGTGACACTGCCCCCGCCCATTTTTTTTTTTGCTGTTTGGATTCTGATTTTCGAACTGTGTCACTGCCCCGCCCATTTCTTGTTTTGCTGTTTGGATTCTGATTTTTGAACTGTGTCACTGCCCCGCCCATTTTTTTTTTTTTTTTTTGGATTCTGATTTTCGAACTGCGACACTGCCCCGCCCATTTCTTTTTTTACTTTTTAGATTCCCATTTTTTGGATTCTTATTTTTAGATTGTGTCGCTGCCCCACCAATTTCTTTTTTTTTTTTTGCTTTTTGGATTCTGATTTTCGAACTGTGTCACTGCCCCACCCATTTATTTTTTTGCTTTTTGGATTCTGATTTTCAAACTCATTGCCCCACCCATTTCTTATTTTACATTTTAGATTCACATTTTTTTAAAAAAAATTGGGATTCTTATTTTAAGATTGTGTCACTGCCCCGCCCATTTCTTTTTTTGCTTTTTGGATTCTGATTTTCGAACTGTCACTGCCCCGCCCATTTCTTTTTTTACATTTTAGATTCCCATTTTTTTTATTTTTTGGATTCTTACTTTCAGATTCTGTCACTGCCCCACCCATTTCTTTTTTTTTACTTTTTAGATTCCCGTTGTTTAAAAACATTTTTTGGATTCTTATTTTCAGTTTGTGTCACTGCCCCGCCAACTTCTTTTTTGACTTTTTGGATTCTGATTTTCAGAATGGGTCACTGCTCTAGCCATATCTTTTGAATTTTTGGATTTTGATTTTCAGACTGTGTCACTGCCCCCACACATTTCCTTTTTATTTTTGGATTTTGATTTTCAGATTTTGTGTCACTGCCCCGCCCATTTTTTAAACGTGGTAGGGGAGATAGACCCTCTGTCCGGTTTGTATTGCTGTCTGTGTCCCATGTGGATAGATTCACTCCCTATTGTACTGTGGACCACTGTCACCAATATAGAGAGTGGAGGGAAATCCCTGGAAGGTGAGGGGAAATCCTCCAATGAGGTCACCTGATCCAGGGACATTTTTCAAAGAGGGGATTTCCCCTCGATTTGGGAGATTTCCTCTAATTTTCTGTTAGATCTCTGGGAGCGGCAGTGAAGGAATATTTCCCCAGTACACAGGCAGCAAACCATAAACTGACAGGGGCATTAAAGCTGAACTCCAGGATATGCAAATATTACTTTAATCTCAGTGAGCCTTGTGGATTTCTTCCAGATCTGTGCAGTAATCCAGTGTGAGACTTCCTGGAATAAAGACCGCTCACTGCTGCTCTCTTTCCTTGTGCAGGGTGACTGGTCTTGACTCCGCCTCCTCCTGTAGTTCTCTGCAGGCAGAATGCAGCAGGTGGAGCCTGCTGGGCCCCTCCTATGGCTCTGCTCTTTCTCCCTGTGCAGGGTGACTGGTCTGGTCTCCATCCCCTCCTGTAGGTTTTTATAGTAGGCAGAGCCTGTTGGGTTCCTGTCATTTTCTGCATGAATCCTGCAGTGGGTGGAACTGGTAGGCCCCTCCCACAGATCTGCTCTCTCCATGTGCAGGGTGACTGGTCTTGTCTCTGCCCCCTCCTGTAGTTTTCTTATAGTAGGCGGAGCCTGTTGGGTCCCTCCCACAGCTCTGCTCTCCTTGTGCAGGGTGACTGGTCTGGTCTCCGCCCCCTCCTGTAGGTTTTTTATAGTAGGCATGGGCTGTCTGCACAGGCTATGTACATCACAGTAATAATGTCCTTGTCAGGTAATATCTGACTTTGCAAAGGCATTTGGTGCGCACAAAGTGGATTTATATCCTTTGTGGTGATTGGGAAGCATATGTCACTGTTAGTTTGTTTGCCCGGGAGTTCAGCTTTAATGCAGCCATAGGAGCGGTGATCCACAGGGATCTACGAATATTTGACTCAGATTTTCTAACCTTTTGCAG